TAAAGTATTATCTGTTCTACCTCAGTAGCTGTAATAAACCATTTAAAAAATTATCCTGTAAACTCTGAAGACACAAGCAAGGTTATTTAATTATAGCAAAACTGAGGAGGAAATGTTCAATTTTCATCAAACTAGACTGTTATTTCACAGCATAATTGTCACACCCGGTTTGTCATTCAGGTAAAATTCTGAAAGCTCAACATATGATTATACTCCACTGTTTTGCACTCTGCCCCACACACCTAAGGGGGTGAGGGGAATGAAATCTGCAACAATTATGCAGTGAAATGCAATAATAATTAACATAAGTGTTCGAGGTTTACTTTGCTCCCTCCGTGCCCGGTCTTCTTACCATATCTTCATCTGTCTCGAGAGTGATCTTGAAAATGTCTCCCTGCTCAGTTTGAGCCAAGAAGAAAAACATTGATTTGGTCTTATGGGTGGCAGAGCAGACAAAAATCATTCCTCTTTCAGGATCATCGAGGTCATTCTAGCAAAATAAAACAAAAATGACAGAAATAAGTACTTTTTATTCCTGGTACTGAGCATGTTACCAACAGGGAACCTATGGGTCACTCAAGGTCTCGAAGATCTGGAAGCTCTCTACAAGTTCTGACCCCTGTAAGCTTCCTGCCAGTAATATATAATCCCAAAACTCAGCTGTTACAAACACAGAACAAAGTTTGGTCTGTTTTAGTAGAACAAAGTGTACTTTGTTCTACAAAGAACAAACAAAAAATAACCAGGCACAATTCCACTTTACAACCTGATCAGATCAATAAGGCATGAACATCTCCAAAGAACAATGTCAGAGAAGAGACATGAAATTTAAATGATCATCATGTCAGGCTGTACAGAAACTCCCAAAACCAAAACAGTAGTGATTCTTAAGATTGCTAACTTACAGGCTGGAGTGCTTTTAAGATGTTTGCCCTGCATGTGGCCAACCCAAGTTTGATCCCCAATATTCCATAAGATCTCCCTTTTTTTGAAAGACCTTACCCGCCTCCGAGGAATTGGACAGCGAATATCCGGCTGATCACCAAAGTTCTTGTAAGTGATATAGTTTTCAGAGCATATCAGCACTCCACTTGGACCATCGGACCCTCCAGGAACTGAAAGAAAGCAAAACTTGAAAATGATATCATTTAACTATGTAAGATAGAACTATGAAAGATGTAACTATGAGATATGAAAGATAAATGAAATATGTAACTAAAGCATATTTAAGTTATAATTATGAAAGTAAAACTTGACAATGATATAACTATTCAGTTTTAAATTCTTTCTCACCTTTTACAAAACTAAATTATAGGTATACTGGGGCTAGAGACAGAGTAAGAGGGTAGGGCATTTGCCCTGCACGCAGCTAACCCAGGTTCAATCCCAGGCATGCAATAAGGTGCCCCAAGCCCTGCCAGGAATGATGTTTGAGTGCAGAGCTAGGAGTATGCTCTGAATATCACAGGTTGTGGCTCAGAAACAAACAGAAATATTACATATATTAACTGTCTATATCAGTAAGTAGACAATTGCAATGAAAATCTCTATGGAATCTGTCATAGTTTTTGGCACTCCAACAACTTATCACTTATTCTACTGTATATCACAGATCTCAATTCTAAAAAAGGCTAGAGTAATTTGGGGGCTAGAGCAATAATAAGGTGGTCAGCGCTCTTGCCTTGAATGCAACCAATCTGGTTTGATTTCCAGCACCAAGTATGGTCCCCCAATCCCTGCCAGGAGTGATACCGGTGTGCAGAGGCAGAAATAAGGCCCCTGAGCACCACCGGCTACGACCCAATAGATTAAAAAGTCCTTCTAGGGGCCTGAGCAATGGTACGCTGGATGAAGCATTCAATCCTCAGCAGATCCCCTCAAGCCCTGCCAGGAGCGATCCCTGAGTGCAAAGCCAAGAGAAAGCCCTAAGCACAGCAATGTGTGTCCCCGACTTCCCCACCAAAAGAAAAAAAAAAAAAAAACCCAAGCCCTCATAAAATGACCTAGGCAAATGGGTATAGAGCTGTTCTGAGAGAAAAATTACCTGTAATTAGAAAATTTCCATGTTCCTCCAAAGGTTCACTGTATTTTCGAACCACATGATTTAAGCCAAGATCTAATTCATAGAATGTAAGAGTTTGCTGTGTATTAGCTGCTGCTTCCCCTGTTGGATCGTTGTCTGCTTCCTAGAAAGAAATAGAAAATGGTACAAAGATCAATTTATAAGAACTAGAAAAATCCTGAAAACAAGAATTCTCCTATTTACAAGTACCGAAATAGATGATATATAAAGCACTTACAGAACTTTACAAGAAAAAAAAATCAAACCCCACCAAAAATGGGGAGAAGAGATGACCAGAAACTTCTTCAAAGAAGTACAACTGGCCAAAGGTATATGAAAAAAATGCTCTGCACCACCGATCATCAGAGATGCAAATCAAAACAACGAGCAATCACTGAGACTGGTATACATCCTAAAAAAAAAAAAAAAAGGAATAACCTGTGCTCAAGTGGATGTGGAGAGAAAGGAACTGCTGGTGGAATGTCAACTGGTTCAACCCTTCTGGAAAACAATAGGGACATTCCTAAAAAATCTAGGAATGGAGCTTCCATTTGACCCAGCAATTTCACTTCTTGGAATATACCCCAAGGGCCCAAAAACAAAATAGAGAAAACACATCTGCACCCCTTTGCTCCTTGCAGCTCTAGCTACAATAGCCAAAATCTGGAAACAACCCAAGTGTCCAAAAATAGATGACTGGATTAAAAAAAACTATGGTATATATACACAATGGAATATTACTCAACCATTAATAACAGTCATAAAATTTGTTACTCAGGAGGGAGACAGATGATACAGAATGATCTCTCTCATATGTGTGACATAAAGAAACATAACAGTGGAATAACGAATACCCAATGGAAACAAGTGTGAGAACTGGTATTCAGTAGCAAACATGTCACTTGAGAAACCTAGAGGTTAGGACAGTGACAGGGTGAACGTTATGGTGGAGGTTAAGCATTCAACTGGGAGGAGGTGGTGCTGAAAGGTGTTATGAAACCGTATCAGCAACAGTACTGTTAACCACAGTGCAGAAACTTATTTAAAAAAGAAAAAAAGGGGGCTGGAGCAATAGCACAATGGGTAGGGTGTTTGCCTTGCAAGTGGCCAACACAGGTTCGATTCCCAGCATCCCATATGGTCCCCTGAGCACTGCCAGGAGTAATTCCTGAGTGCAGAGCCAGAAGTAACTCCTGTGCATTGCCAGGTGTGACCCAAAAAGCAAAAAAGCAAAAAAAAAAAAAAAAAAAAAAAAAGTAGGGCCTAACCAATAGTACAATTCACCTTGCATTTGGCAGACCTGACTTCAATCCTGACCTGGGGTTCAATCCCAGGCATCCCATATAATACCCTGAATACTGCCAGGAGTGACTCCAGAATGCAGAGCCAGGACCAATCCCCGAGCACCACTGGCTGTGGCCCCCAAACCAAAAACAAACATTTAAAAAAACAGAAAAAAAAACAGGTAGACAGAACTTTTAAAACTCAAAAGTCAGACAGACCATGTCAGCCTTAAAGCTCTCAATACAGTTCTATGCAGCTGTAAGAAAACATAAAATTTTGCAATTCACTGAAAAAAAAAAGGGAAAAATTCTGAAAACACAAGATTTCTACTCTATGAGTGAGGAAATAGAAGGCCAGAGACACCAAATGATCTGCCAAAGTTTACATCACTAGTGTAATGGCAGAGCTGGATAGGAATCCGAGTCTCCTAACTCTGGGATGAGCAGTGCCTCGACTAGATGACTTTCACTACCACCCTGGGAAAAATCCCCTCAATAACAGTTTCACTGCCTTTCTCAGGGAGCTTTTCTCAGTAAGTATACAGTGTTCATTGGAATCTGTTCCAATCAAAGTAGTGCTATTACAGAGTCAGGGAAGAAACATTACAAAGAATTTCAGTAAAGCTTTTAAAAACAAAATAATTATTAGCAAGTCAGATATAAGATATGCACAATGAAGAAAATAATCCTCGGAAAGCACTGAAGTGACCGGGGAAAAAAAAAATTGGGACTGGAGCGATAGATAACACAGCAGGTAGGGTGTTTGCCCTGCACACAGCTGAACCAGGTTCGATTCCCAGCATCCCATACAGTCCCTGAGCACTGCCAGGAGTAATTCCTAAGTGCAGAGCCAGGCGGAACCCCCTGAGCATCGCTGGGTGTGACCTAAAGAAAAATAACCTACGGGGAAGAGAGAGACACAGTCCTTTACCTCGTAATCCATTTCCAGACAAGCAAACATTGGATTTTCAAATCCCACATCTACTCCAACCACATGATACACCAAAGTGTTGGCTTTGTGGGCCTCCAAAGGAGACGAAATGGTAAGCCGGGCTGCAGCATCTCTGTTCAAGATATACACTAATTTCTGCTTTTCAATGGCGCCTGTATTTGAAGGGACAAAACAAAAGAGCTCCACTTAGCAGAGAGGACAGATCCACATGGTAACGATCAAGTCAGCGCTAACTCGACAAGCGTATTAACCTGGAGCCCCCTCTATCCTCCACCTCCTTCCTCACGGAGTTCACCAAACTCCAAACACTTCAGCGTCCTAGATTAAATTAAAAAAATCATTTAATTCCTGACAATGCAAATGGCTCCGAGTCCTGCCAGGAGTGATTACTGAGTGCAAAGCAGGCGTAACCCCCAAGCACTGCTCAGTGTGGCCCCAAAACCAAAACAGTAATTCTTCAGAGTGCCAGCTTGTGGGGCTGGAGCAATAATACAGTGTCAAAGGTGCTTGTCCTGCATGTGACTGATCTGGGTTTAACCCCCAACATCCCATTGGGTCTCCTGAGCACTGAGCCAGGAATAACCCCTGAACATCACCAGGTGTGGTGCCCAAACCAAGCGAACAACAAAAGAGTAATAAGATTACCAGCTTGCTTCTTTCAATTGGATCTAAGGATTCTGCGACCAAGAAAAGGCTGCCCTCTGGACGCTGATCAGATACACAGAAGTTTCTTCACGAGATTCATCAGAGAAGAGACATGAATGTGAATCATCACTTCAGGCCCAGAAGGGCAAATACACTGAAATATCTGGCAAAATCATTTAAATCTAGGCAGCCATGAATGAGAGGGGCCGGAGAGAGTTTGATCAGGTAAGAAGCTCGCCTTGCAGGCAGTTGACTCTGGAATCAACCCGGCACCATATGGTCCCCTGAGCCCACCAGGAGTAAACCATGAGCAGAGGCAAGAGGGAGGCCCCCTCCCACACCGCCCAAAGGTATGCTAAGTCCTTTCCAGCTGTTGAAAAGGAAAAACTTTGTCACTAAATTAATCCAAATAGCCCCATCAGATCCCATGCGATGTATTAAGTCTGCAAATCAGAGATGCAGTCACCAAGCAAGTTACTACTCACTGATCATAACAGCGCGCCCTTTGGGATCCACAGCTAAGAACTGCCCGGGAACAATGCGGCGGCATCCACTCTTGCCAAAAGTTTCTTGGTGAATTTTCTCAAACATATTCTTAGACGGTTGATACTCCAGGATGACAATCCGACCGGAGTCACTGCCGACCACAATATAGTCTTTGGTGCCACCTGTCAGCCTAAAGGCCATGAGTGATCGGATGACACCAAAAACTTCCACAGTTAACAGGGTGTGTACTTTGCCAGTGTTGGGGTCAGGACGAAGTAGCTCCAAGATCTTCCCCCGGGAAACAACAATTTCCTGCTGTTTAGTTCCTAGAAAGCCAAAAAGCAGAAGTTCATGAATAATCACAGCTAACCAAGTTCTGATTATTCAGATTAACCCAAAGAGTAATCTGGGGGCCAAAGTGATAGTATGGAGGGTAGGGCATTTTTTTGCATGCACGGAACAGGTTCCATCCCTGGCATCCTAAATGGTTCCTCAGCACAGCCTGGAGTTAAGTCCTGGCGCAGAGCCAGAAATACGCATCATCAAGTGACCCAAAAAGGATCCCCCTCCAAAAAAAGTAATCTGGGGGTCCAGAGAAATTCAGCTATTTGAGCCTAGCAGCTCTGCTGTGTGATCCACATACGAGGTGATCTCCGGCTGCACCTGAGATGGGCATCAACACCACAAAACACGGGAGCACAGTGTAAAAGTTCAAGTGCATGGCTACGAAGTGTGTACTCTTGCAAGCAATTCTAAGCACCGAGGAGACCCCAGTAGCATCAAAACCCTAGTGGGTCTCTATGCAAGCATCACAATAAAGAATGCAAATCTCCAAAGTACCTTGCCAAGAATGGGAGCACTGTAGTATTGCAGTGTCCTCCCGTTGTTCATTGATTTGCTCGAGCAGGCCCAGGAAAGTCTCCATTTTGAGACCTGTAGTTAGGAGCACCACTACCTAATCTTTGGGGAGAACACCACTGACAAGTGTATAAGCACCACAATCAGGTGTGTGCACACTCCCCCAATCATAACAACAATATCATATGGTTCCCCAAGCGTGGCCCAAAAAACAAACACAATAACAAGACTTTAAAAATAAACTTAACTATTGGGGGTGGGGAGAAGGAGGGGCTGGAGAGACAGTACTGAATCCCTGCCACCTCATCCCATTGAGTGCTGAGCCATGAACAAGCTCTGAACATAGCCGGTGTAACCCCTCCCCTACCAAAACCCAAGAAATTAAAATAAGGGGCTGGAGAGAAAACAGCAGGTAGAATGACTGCCTTACACACAGCCAACATGGGTCCGATTCCCGGCATCCCATACGGTACCCTGAGCCCACCAGGATTGATTCCTGAGTGCAGAGCCAGGAGTAATCCCTGAGCATTGCTGGGTATGGCCCCCAAAGAATCAACAAAATTTTAAATAGAAGCAAAATTAAAAGGTCAAGGAAGTAGCTCAGAGGACTGAAACACATACCTTGTATACTTGAGGCCCAAGTTCAATCCCTTTACCATAGGGTGTAGCTTAGCAGCCACCAACATGGCACCACTGGCCTAGCCCTAGCCCCGAGCTGTCAAGCCCGGCATCATCAAATATGGCACCCAAGCTCCTGAGCAATTCTGGGGAGGGCTAACTTCCTCCCGAAATGTAAGTTATAATCAGGGCCAGAAATCAGTGGTCCTGGGTCTGATGTCTAACATTAAAAAAATAAATAAAAGTCAAATTCATCAAGAGCAACTGCAGAACTTACCAGAGAAGTTGCCATGAATGGCGAAGCTGATGCCAGTGGCTCGCTGCAAGGTCAAGTTATACAAGAACATGGTGGCAGCAACACTCAGACACCAACAACTCCACAATCCAGGCCTTGGTTACACCAAGTCAAAGGCAAACTAAAAGCACATGAAAGCAGAGACATTTACTAGGTAATCTTAACACTGTACTGGAATTTCTGCTGAAGGTAACAGAACCACCAGAATAAGGCCTATTGAACAGGTGTTATTACTAAGTTACCTTCTATATGGTATTTGGTATGCTAAATACTCATTTCTATTTTCATAAGAAATGCATAAACTTACAATGCTGAATCTCCATTTCTCTACAAGGAGACCTTGGCTAATCTACTAAAAGCCCGTTATTGTAGTTTCATTTACATCTCCTACACCAGCTCTACAACTCAGTGATTAAAATTTAAGCTGACCATCAAAAATTAAAGCAAGAAAAAAATCCCTGATAGTTCAGAGACATTCATAAAGGTGCTAAGAGAAAAGGATTCTTTTCACCAGACTGGTCTAAAAACTGAAAAAAAATCACCTCTGTCATAATTACCCACAACTACACCAGCCACAGAATTAAACTCGAAAATAAATTTTTTAAAAGCCTTATTTAGAAAAAAGGAACCTTGGAAACCTGAAATAATCACTGCAACATAGGAATTTGATTTTGTTGAATTTTAAGTAGACATCCTCATAATCATTTCTGGAAGCTAAAGATACAGTACAAGCAGGGCGTGTGCCTTGTGTGGGTCAACTCAGGTTCAATTCCTAAGAGCCCACTCCCCTGAGCCCTACCAGGAGTGATCCCTAAGAACAGAGCCAGGAGTAAAGCCCTGAGCACAGCCAGATGTCTCTCCTCAAAATAAGTTATAATTTATCCCCAGGCAAAAGCAAGCTGACAGGAAAAGAAAAATCCACCAGAATAGAAATAGGGCATAGGAGAGAAAATTTCCACTTGAAACCAAGGCATCTTTATGTTCTAAAATCACAAAGAAAAAGTTTGGGTAGGAAAAGGAATACAGATATGACCTATGAGATAAACAAGAGAGGGGCTGGATCGATAGCACAGCAGGTGGGCGTCTGCCTTGCACGCGGCCGACTCGGGTCTGATTCCCAGCACCCCATATGGTCCCCCAAGCACCGCCAAGAGTAATTCCTGAATGCAGAGCCAAGAGTAACCCTTGTGCATCGCCGGGTGTGACCCAAAAAGGAAAAAAAAAAAGATAAACGAGAGGGGCTGGAGACAGGGTGCTTGCCTTGCACAGAGCCTACCTGGATTCAATCCCTGGCATCCCACAGTCCTCCCAAGTACCCCCAGGTACAATTCCTGAGAGCAGAGACAGGAATAACCCCTGAGCATCACTGGGTGTGATATATACACACACAAAAAAACAGGAAATATAGATAAGGCATCAGGGAAAATTGTGCTTGGCCTTTAAAGTCTGGGAGACAGCATTTCAACTTTTTGACATCTCCCTAAGAGCACAAAAACATCAAGATGAGATTTTGGGCCAGAGAGATAGTCAAAAGGGCCGTGGTGTACCTTTTTTGTGGTGGAGGCCCAAGTTTGAGCACCAGCACCATATATGGTCCCGAGCACTGCCAGGAGCAGGCCACAGGAACAGAGATGGGCATGGCCTTGCTGACCGTGACCCCCAAAACAACTAAACTGTGCTATGCATACACAATAGACCACTACCCAGCTAGAGCAGATAAAGGGCTGGAAAGACAATACAATACAGAAGCGAAGTGCACTCCACCCTAGTGGGCTGTTTATATTCTGGGTTTCACATTCATGCCTTTGATGCTCAGGGCTTACTCTTGGTGGTTCTTCAGACACCATATGTGAAACTGAGGGTCAAACTGAGGCCAGCACATGCAAAGCACCTTTTTACCTTAATCCCTAACTGACCCTGGGCACCAGCAGGTGTGATCCAAAATATTAGAAAGATGAAATCCTGGGGCCAGAGCGATAACACAATGGGTAGGGCGTTTGCCTTGCATGCGGCCGACCTGGGTTCGATCCCCGGCATCCCATATGGTCCCCCAAGCACCGCCAGGAGTAATTCCTGAGTGCAGAACCAGGAGTGACCCCTTGAGCATCACTGGGTATGACCCAAAAAGGCAAAAAAAGAAAGATGAAATCCTGCAGTTCATCGCAACTTTGGTGGAACTCTGAGGGCATGATCCTGAGTGATACAAGACAACTATACAAAAACTGAAATGTAGAATATAAAACTGAAATGTAGAATTTAAAGAAACTAGTAAGGGAACAAAAACCAGTGAAAGACCCTAGATGTCCGGAATTTGCTAAGTGGGGAGAGTGGGTTGGAGGACCAAGACACCGCAGAGGGCTGGCTATAGTCGTGGTGGGTGCAGTGTTAATATTAACACCACTAAAATCAAAGTGTCTAATTGAAAATAAATCTGGAGAGCAGAGAATATCTCCAAGTGCTCTCATTCAAAGTGGTGAACGCCACGGTCTCTTAAAGCATACTTCAGTACTTGTGCTCTGTGGCATTTCAACCCGCAATAAAATTTTAAACATAATTTTAAGTGGGGATAAAATTTACAAGGGAACGCCCAGCAAGCTGTCACTCAAGACCTGTAACTGGTAATAAAGGTGAAAAGGTGAAGAATTGGAGGCTGGGCTGGAGATAAAACGGGGTGCAGTGCTTGCCTGGCATGCAGCTGAGCCCCGTTAGCTCCTGGGGCTCAAAAGCTCCCTCCGAGAGATTTTTCCTTATTGAGGTGCCAGGCTCCAAGCCAGCTCTAACGCCTGCAAACCTCGCACTAGGCCCAGAAGGCAACGTGGTCACTACTCTCCCTTCTTCCTGGTTTAGGACCCAAGGCAGCTCCTCCTTCAGTGCCCTGAGGCCTGAGCCCACTTGGCACAAACCCGGGAGCCCACTTTCCCTGAAGCTGGCCGCATCCAGGTTCTACCAAAAAGGTGGCCTTTTCCCCCTTTTTTTCTACCAGGAACGGGGGAGGAAATTGCATCTTGCTGCAAAATAGGAACCATTAACAGCCGAAGCTCAATACGGGGATTGCCCCCAACGTCCGTCCACGCCTCCCACCCTCGCCCTGGCTGTGACTATCAGAAAATGAGGCGGCTCAGATCAGCCCTTGTCCAGGAGACGGAAAGAACGTCACGGCACTTAAACTCTAGCGAGGACTAAGACAGATCCCCGTGCCCCATCCTGCAAACAAAATTTAAAAAAAAAAAACCTCAGGATAAACATTAGAAACAAACTGTTCAAGCACCAAAATACACATTCAAAATCGATTCAAAATCGGGTGTTGGCTCCGAAGAGTTTCCGTTATTGACAACCAGCTCGGTCTTTTCACCTCCCATCAGGGTGTCGTTTTCTCTTCAAGGGGAGACGGCCCCACCCCAACCCCAGAGGCTAGGCCATCTCGAAAATACTTTGAGCCAAACCTCGTTTCCCCCTCTGCCGGACCGAAGCCGTTTTCGAGCCCCCAGCGTTCCCCTGCACCTCCGCTCCGTTCCTTATCCGGACTCTCGGGCCTAGGAGGACTGAGACCCCGACCAAACGCTCGCCCGCCCCCCTACAGGATTGCTCTCTGCCCCCCGAGCCCGAGAAAGCCGGAAGAGTGCTTCTTTACCCTGCAGCGGAGAGGATGGCGTTGATACCCGACGGATACTAAATTTTTTCAAGGCCTAAGCCACAGCCAAGGCCGACCTACCGGCGTCCGCCATTAGCTCTTAAGACAAGGACCTTCCGGTTGGCGCGCAGCGGCGAAGGGTTCCACAGAGGTGCCTAAAGAATATACGCCCCAAAAAGGTTTCGTTTATGTTTCTGTAGTGTCCCCAAACCTCATTGAAACTTTCTTAGACTTACTTATGGCGGTGGTTTTTCCAAGGAAATACAAAACGAACCGATATTGGGAATTTGATTCACAAAACAAAAACGGAGTTCGTCGGGCACTTCCTCGGGCAGCCCAAGGCGCGGCGCGCCAACGCGGAGGGGGCCTCGCGCAGCCGGAAGCTCGGCATGGGGACCAAGATGGCGGACCTCGAGAGCCCGCCGAAGGCGGCCGGGGGCCCTGCGCCGCCCGACGGGCTGGCAGGCGGCCGCTGCTCGGAAATATCCACCGAGTTCATTCGCTCCCTGACGGAGCTGCAGGATCTGGAAGCTGTGTACGAGCGACTGTGCGGAGAGGAGGTGGGGGGGCCGAGCCTCTTTCCCAAGAAGGCGCTAGGGCCAGGGAGCCTGGACGTTGTCCGTTTGGGAAATGCGGGTTATAAGAAATTCTCTCCTTGCCGAGGGACACGAAAAAGCACCAATTCGAGAAACCCAAAGGTAGTGGGGAGACTGCCGTTTCCCTCCTCTGGGTCTGACGCTCCCGAGCTTGTTTTCCCGTGGCTGGGCGACCCCGCCCCCGCGGTGACAGCCCTGACCCTTCATCTCCAGATTTCTCCGCTGGGGTAGTTGGCGTTTGCGCCAGCGCACCTGGTTCTCAAAATTGGAATTGTCTTGTGTTGTATTTGTCTTGTATTAGCTTAGCAATCTAGGAAATAGGAAAAGCTGTCACCCAGGTATCTCATTTAAGCAGGAAGTAATTGCATCGGTGCATTTTAAGACTTTTTCGGGAAATCATCTCTGGGTGTGTGTCGATTTTTAGAATCTCATTTTAATGCACGGCTTTGTAGAAGCGTGAGGTTTTACGACCTCATGCACCATTTTCTAATGTTTGACAAATCTCTTAACACCCCACGAGGTTGTGTCCAATGAGGGATGTCAACTATGTTCTCCAAGACTCTTTTCATTCTTGATGCTGTTCCTCTCTACCCCCTTTAGTTTTTCTGTGGCTCCCTGAATCTGTCAGGATGTTTTGAAAGTCAGTTTCATTGATTCCTAGCCAATCAGAAGGAAGAGGGCTCTGCTCTAAGAATTTAGTGACTGTTTTAAAGTTTTGAGATTTAGATTGAGTACAAAGAGCAGTTTTAGCTTGAGGGAGGGTGAATCACTAAGAGCTTTGATTTGCAAATATTCACTTGTGCACATATTGACTTGTACCAACTTTGCCAATGAAATCTGTGTTATAAAATTTGGTACCTTTTTTTTTTCAATATTAATATTTTTTTTCTTGGCAACCATATTGGGTGCCAGAGATCAACCCTGGTCAGCCTCACGCAAAGGAAGCACCTTACGCACTATAGTACTTTGCCGGCCCTAAAGTTCAGTACTTGTGACTTAACGTACCTATACTCAGATTCATGGATTCAGTCAAACCTGGGAAAGGCCAGAAATTAAGTGATCTTTCGATCAAAACAAGGTCAATTCTGTATTTGTAGTTGGTGATTGTCACAAGGAGGGGCTTCCCTCAGCTGTGCTGAATTATTTTAATACAAACGTACACCTAATACTGCTAGTTATTTTAGAGCTATGCGTCACACAGTGTGTTAAGCACGTTATGTTTACTCTCCCATTTGGCTCATCTGACAGTCTGAGGGGTATGTATTACGCTATGTTGGGAAATGGAGAAATTCAAGAGTAAGGAAAATATCATTTGAGATGATACAGTTATGACCCAACTGAAATTGCAATTATCTCCTTTTGGTACTGATTTTGAAGACACTTGATTTCATTTTGGAACCACACTCAGTGGTGCTTGGGCTTTATTCGTGACTCTGTGCTTAGGAACGCTCCTGATGGGACTTAGGGGAACCCTGTGAGGTACAGAGGAACTAACCAGGCAGGCGACATGAAAGGCAATCACCCTACCTCACCTTAACCAGCCCCTTGGAGAAGAGTAATTGCCACTGAAGGAAGCTTCAGTTGTTTAGCCGTTATGTTTGTTTTGTTTTGTTTTGCTTTTTGGGTCACACCCAGCGATGCTCAGGGGTTACTCTTGGCTCTGCACTCAGGGATTACCCCTGGGGGTGCTTGGGGGACCATATGGGATGCTGGGAATCGAACCCAGGTTGGCCGCGTGCAAGGCAAACGCCCTACCCGCTGTGCTATTGCTCCAGCCCCCATTATGTTTTAAATGCTGTCCTGTGTTAATCACTATGATAATGATATTGAATAAAGGCTTATTACAGTGATCATCTGCTAGATAAAAGACAGTTTTCGTAAATTAACAATTACTGCAATATTTCAAGTGCAAACATGAAATCGCTCAAAGCCTAGAGGATCACAGTAGAAGAAAAGACACTTGAAAGGGAATTCCTCCTTTAGCTGAGTTTAGGTCATTCTGGGATTTTGTTTGGGGCCACACCCAGTGCTGCTCAGTGATCATACAGTGCCTGAGCCAGGATATGAACCCTGAGCCCTTCCAGCCAATCCCCCACCAGTCTAGATCACTCTTCCGTTTCACTCTGACCATTCTGATGACAGCATGTTTCTTTGTGTACCAGAAAGTTGTGGAGAGAGAGTTGGACGCTCTTTTGGAACAACAAAACACCATTGAAAGTAAGATGGTCGCTCTTCACCGAATGGGGTGAGTCTCTTCCTCTCAGCAACAGCTACTGTGAATTCTAAACGCTCTTTATTTATTTATTTATTTATTTACCACACCTGGCAATACTTTGGGCTTGCTCCTGGCTCTGAACTTAGGGATCACTCCTGGTGGGGCTCCAGGGATAATATGTGGTGCTGGGGATTAAACCGGATTGGCCACATGCAAGGCAAGTGTCCTACCCACAGCATGTCACTCTGGTTCCAGGTCCTATAAATTCTAACAGGCTCCACTGGATAAGTTACTCTGCTTCCTAATTTTTTCTGTTTTTGAGCCATACCTGATGTTGCTCAGAGATCATTCTGGAACTTTCAGAGATTCAGGGATCAAACCTAAAACTCCCATGTTCTCTAGCCCATTGAGTCATCTCGCCGACCCTATTCATTTTTTATATTTATTACCTTTTTCTTCTATTCTTGTCTACCATTCTTATTGGTGTTGCATGGTATGGGACACACTTGGCAGAGATGCTCATACATTTGGTTGTGGTACTTGCGGGGGTTACACACTTGTTTGTGGGGCACTGGAGATTGCACATTTGTGGGGGTTTTTTTGTTTATTTGGTTTTTTTTTGTTTTTGGGTCACATCCGGCAATGTTCAGGGCTTACCCCTGGCTCTGCACTCAGGAATCACTCCTGTGGTACTCACGGGACCATATGGGATGCCAGGAATTGAATCCGAGTCAGCCGAGTGCAAGGTGAATGCCCTCCTCGCTGTGCCATTGTGTTTTGTGAGGGCGCTGGTGATTCCAAACAGCAGCCAGGCCCTGATCATTCTGTGGCATGTGGGACAGGACTGAGGATCGGATTCTCAGCCTCACAATTGCCAGGTACACACTTTGCAACTGAGCTGTGGATTCCCACTGGCCCAGCCAATTCAGTGTTTCCTCTGAAGGTGCTTTACCTCAGATGAACACGTTGGGGTATATAAATGAATCAGAAACTGTGATGGAAACTCGGAATTTATATCTTATCAATGTATCAAGAGATTCTGATGCATTTCTCATGTAAGAGGACCAGTTTATAGACTGAAGAGTCACAGAAGTTTTTCTTTAATCCCAGCCAGGAGTAAACCCTAAGCACCACTGGGTATGGCACAAAAACAAAAGAAACAAGAAGGCAGAATGATAGCTCAGTGTGTTGGAGTACATTCTTTGCATGCAGGAGACCTGGATTTAATCCCTAACACCACCTAATTCCCTGAGCACAGCCAGCAGTGAACACTAAATTAGGAGTATAATAGTCCACGTGTGAAAACCAACAAACAGAAGACTGGGGCTGGAGCGGTAGTACAGTGGGTTGGGTATTTGCCTTGCCTGCAGCCAACCTGGTTTCAATGTGCAGCATCCCATATGATCCCCAAGCCCACCAGGAGTCATTTCTCAACACAGAACCAAGAGTAACCCCTGAGTACTGCTAGGTGTGGCAAAAAAAAAAAAAACTGTCATATTCTAAATAGAAAATTTTCTGTTTTATTTACTTAATTTTAATTGGGGAGGGGGATTTCTGAACCACCTGGCTGTGCTCAGGGCTTACTCCAGATTCTGTGCACAAGAATAATTCCTGACAACTATGTGTTAATCCAGGCAATCATTTCTGCCCAGAGGGGAAAGGGTGTTGCTCCCTTCTGCCCTCCTCCCTCTGGAAAGAAAGATGGCAGCCACATGGGAGCCTTGTGGACAGCAGGTATGAGCCGGGGGAGTGGGGGCGACTAAAACCTCATGGGTCGGGGGGCGTTCCGGTCCGTCCTTCACGCCCTACCGAGGTCACCAGTCGCCCCCCCCGCGAGCGGCTCTCCAGCACGGCCATGGCCCCAGAAGCACAAGGACTTAATGCAGAACCCAGCAGCTTGGAGCAGAAAAGTGAATGGACTATGTGTTGATCCAGGCCATCAAGTCTGCTGGAGGGGAAAGGGTGTTGCCCCATTCGCCCTCTCCTCTCTGGAAAGAAAGATGGCGGCCACATGGGAGCCTTGTGGACAGCAGGTATGAGCCGGGAGTGTGGGGGCGACTAAAACCTCATGGGAAGGGGGGCGTTTCGCTCTGCCCTTCACGCCCTACCGAGGCCACCGGTCCCCCCGCGAGCGGCTCTCCAGCACGGCCACGACTCCAGAACACAGAAACCAATTTCTTAACTATCTGACTTTCAGTAGAAATACTTCCAGGGTCAATAGGTAAAATAGCAGAAATCCAAAACCAACATTTAATTCTTGAACCCAGCTGTAGAAAGCAAATCACTTCACAATGCTTTTTCAGCATGTCTGATTTGGGGGGGGGGGGGTAAACTCTAAATAATAGTGGTGAATCTTTTATTGAAACAATGAATCTAATCAAAGCAGATAGAGTGTTAACTAGAATTCATCTGCCTCACAGGGACGGGGAGGGGTGGGGGGTGGGGTTTTATTGGGGTTCTTCATGGTAAAAAATAAGTATTGGTAAAGGGAAATGTGTTTGATATTTGCATGACTGAGACATAAACCTGAAAGCTTTGTAACCTTTCCCACAGTGATTCAATAAATAAATTAAAAAAAAAAAAGAATAATTCCTGACAGGGCTCAGGGACTGTGTGGGTGTGTGGGGTGCTGGAGCAAACCCAGGTTTGCCACATGCAAGGCAGACTCCCAGCTTGCTACACTGTCTCTCTAGCCCCAGTAAAATCATCTCATAGTCTTTTGGCATTATGGATAATGTATGCTGTCATTGTATATCTCCAGACCCAACCTGCAGTTAATTGAAGGAGATGCGAAGCAGCTCGCTGGAATGATTACCTTTACCTGCAACCTAGCGGAGAATGTGTCCAGCAAAGTCCGTCAGCTTGACCTGGCCAAGGTAATCCCAGGTACTTTTGTTGTTTATTAGAAGTCTGAAGAATGCACCGTGTTAGCAATAAGAGCAGCATCATTCAGTAAAAACCTAATGAAGATACAAAACAAAGTTAGCATAAAACTCCAAACCAGGGGTCAGAGTAGCAGGTCTGGCACTTGTCTTACATGTGGCATTCGTGGTTCGATCCCTGGCATCCCATATGATCGACAAGCATTGCTAGGACTAATTTCTGAGTGCAGAGCCAAGAGTAACCCCTAAGCACCACCAAGTGTGGCTCCCCAAAAATTAGCCGCAAACCAGGGCAGGAGAGATAGTATGGGAGGGAAAGTGCTTCCCTTACACGTGGCTGACCCAAGCTCGACCCCCAGCACCATCTACGGTCACCCAGGCCTCCCAGGAGTGATCCATGAATGCAGAGCCAGGAGTAAGCCCTGAGCATCTCCAGGTATGGGCAAAAAGAACAGGAAACTCCAAACTAGTAGACTTAATGAATATTGACAATAATCTACAACACTAGCAAACCAATTCCCACAATATATTAAAGGAACTGCACAATGACCAAAGTAGGATTTATCCCAGGGTTACAAGCTTCATTTAACATCTGAAATATCAACCAGTGTATGTCATGTTGATAGAATTATAAAACCACATAATCATCTCATAGCCTCACCAAATTGTATGGCACCTGTGAGAAAAAAGACAAAACTTGGAAGGGAATGTCCTTTACCTGATAAAGGGTGGTCACGGTCATGGTCCTCCCATTGTTCATCGATTTGCTCGAGCGGGCCCAGTAACGTCCCCATCATGAGACTTGTTGTTACTGTGTTTGGCATATCGAATATATCACAAGTAGCTTGCCAGGCTCTGCCGTGTGGGCGAGATACTCTCGGTAGCTTGTCGGGCTCTCCGAGAGGGGCGGAGGAATTGAACTCAGGTTGGCCATGTTGGCCGCTTGTAAGGCAAACGCCCTACTGCTGTGCTATCGCTCCAGGATAAAGGGCATCCATGGAAAACTCCACATCTAGCACTGTATTTATTGATGGAAAGCTAGGTTCTTTCCACATAAGACCAAGAACAACATAAGGAATGTTGGTGCTTCTCTTCCATTCTGTACTTGAACGCTCTAGCCAGGGCAATTAGGCAAGACAATAAAACATCCAGGGGAGTTCAGATTGGAAAAGAAGAAATATAACACGTACCACAATGTTATATTTTCTAGTAATCTATTTTAAATAGGGGCCAGACAGAGACTTCAGCGGCTAAAGTCCTTGTCTTACACGCAGCTGACAAAGGTTCAGTCCCCAGCCCGGCCTATGGTCCAGTGAGCCCTCCTAGGGGCGATCCCTGAGCTTAGAGCAAGAAGTCCTGAGCACAGCTAGATGTGGCCCATAGAACAGAAGTTAAAAAACCAGAGGTCCAGAGGATAGTTCAGTGTGCTAAGCCACATCTGCCAGTGGGAGGCCTGGGTTCAGTCCCCAGCACCATGTGGGCACCTAAGCACTACCACTTGGGCCCCGAACGGGGACAGTGATTTTGGATCTTGTAGAGGGGTGTGGGGGTTGCTCTTGTTTGCAGTGCCAGGGATCAAACAAAGGGCTTCACTTGTAAAGCAACTGCTCTCCTCCTAAGGCCCCTTCCCAGCCCTTGATGTTTTATTTTGCCCGTTATTTACAAGATACTAAGGCGTCTCTACGTGTCTCAGACATTAAAACCAAGACATCCTCTCTGAGCACCAAGTCTTTCTGCAGAACCGTCTTTACCAGGCCATTCAGAGAGCGGACGACATCTTGGACCTGAAGTTCTGCATGGACGGAGTCCAGACGGCTCTGAGGAATGAGGATTACGAGCAGGCTGCCGCCCACATTCATCGCTATCTGTGCCTGGACAAGTCCGTCATTGAGCTCAGCCGACAGGGCAAAGAAGGTAACCTTGTCCTCAAACTGCTGATGTCTGGCCGGGTTAGAAGCCTCCGTCCCGGGGAAGCGGCCTTGTCGGAGACCCGAAGTAGGTCCTAGACCAAGACCTTATAACCTTTTTCTACTCGCAGCTTCTCTTCACCTGAGAAATGCAACGTGAACAAGCTCTGCCAGAAATACCTCAGATTCATTAAGCATTTGATTTGGAATTCCTTCTTGGTTAGATCTTCAGAAACCTTTTGCTCTCGGCAGGTTTTTCACAAGCCCCACCTTGAGTCACGATGACCGCCCCATACGGGTTTACAACCCACAGATTACGGTGGTAGGTCCAGGCCCAGAGAGAAGGGGAGAGCTCAGTGGACGAGAGGCTGTCGTGCGCTCTGTCCCCACAGGTGGACAGCACCAGCATTAGCCCTTGAGCGACAACCAGGACTAATCTCTGAGCCAGGTATAGACAAGCAAAAAGCTCGGTCACCCCAGGAGAGCGACTATAGTTATTCCTCTTGTGTGGCAACGGCAGCCGCGTCCTGCGGGTCGAACGGAATTCTGCCCGCCTGCCCCGCCCCTCTGCCTCCTCATGCTGCCTGTTTGTCCTGCATATATTTACTGAGCTCCTCCCCGTTTTACTAGTTACTGTTTGAGATAAGTCTTTTCATCTTTGTTTCCGCATTTGCCTTATTTTATTCCCTTTCCCTAGACTGACGTTCCTCCATTTTAGGTTTCAAAATCCCCTTCTTTCAAAGATGTGACCTTCCCTCAGAAACCTTTTCTGGTGAATCAGAAATCTGACTTGAGGACACCTTTTCTTTTTTCAGGATGGGGGGTGGTCACATCCAACTTAACTCAGGGCTCACTCCTGGCTCTGCATTCAGGGATGACTCCTGGCAGTGCTCAGTGCCTGGGACAACATGGGGCGCCAGAGACCAAACTCAGGTCAGCCACAATGAAGGCAAATGCCCAACCGCTGTCCTATTACTCCAGCCCCAGGGGGCACATTTCTTGCCCAAAGATGATCTTTTCACTGAATTCCTTGGAACAAGATTATAGATGTTTTCTATCTTAATCATTGATGTTGCTGACATAGTAGCTTGTTATATTTGCGTGCACAGTATATTTATATGCATTGGGGCGAATGCAGGGGCAGGGGTTGCGGGTGGCCATACCCAGTGGTGCTTAGGTACTGCTCCTGGCTCCCTGCTTGTGAATTCCTCCAAGAGTTGTCTCTGGTGGCGCTTGAGGGACCATATGAGGTGCCCAGGATCTAGTCTTGGACTCCAGCATGGAAGCATGTACTCGGCCTGTTGGGCTGTCTCCAGTCCTTATTTAATGAATAATAGTGAACAGACGCAGTATGTGTGTGTGTGTGTAGATTTCACAGGGAACCTTTCTCTTTTGTTGTTTTGTGTGTTTTGGGGCTGCACCTGGCTATCCTGAGGACTTACTCCTGACTCTGCACTCGGGGACCCCTCCTGATGTGCTCTGGGGGACCATTTTGGGTGCCAGGATAATCGAACCTGGGTGGGCTGCACACCATCTCTCCGGCCCATAGCACCTTTCTTGGCGTTCATTCTCTTGCCTGTTGCAGGGAGTATGATCGACGCCAACCTGAAGGCGCTGCAGAAGGCGGAGCAGCGTCTCCGAGCCATCGTCACAGAAAAGTTCGAGCTCGCCACGAGAGAGAGCGACCTGCCGCAGGTGGAGCGCTTCTTCAAGATCTTCCCACTGCTCGGGCTGCACGAGGATGGCTTGAGCAAGTTCTCCGAGTACCTTTGCAAGCAGGTAAGGCTGCTGCTTGCGTGGCACCCCAGGTAGGCACGCTGAAGACTCCGCCTCCGGTGGGCGCCTCTCAGCCCTGGCTTCGACTCCCTTCGCCACACGCGCCGAATGCATTCATTTAGCACTCGTCCATTATCGCCTGCCAGCTGTGTACCTGCACATCTGCCGGTGCACGTTTATTTCCAGCAGACCAAGTGGAAGTTCAGGAAAATTAAAATGCAAATTACCTGACAAGCTGAATCACACATACCAAGCTGTCAGCCTGGAACTGGCTGCTTTTAACATCATTTGAAGTTGTTGTGAGTGGTGTTAAGTGGTTTAACTAGGCTTAAATCTCAAAATAAACCACGCTGACGTGAAAGAGATAAAGTCACTTAAAGAAAACAGTGGGGCCAGAGAGATAGTCCAGCAGGGAGGGCGTTTGCCTTGCACACGGCTGACCAGGGTTGAATTTCTGGTATCCCATATGGTCACCTGGGAGTAATTCCTGAGCACGGAGTCAGTTAGCCCCTGAGTATCGCCTGTGTGGCCCAATAACCAAAAAGAAATGGAAGTCAGTGTCACCGCCATCCAGCGGCCACCAAGGCTACACCTAGTGGACCACCGGGGCCATGCCTTACTGAGGGTCCAATATATGTTCCAACCCTTGGAGCTCTTTCTTGGATTTATTTTACTAGATTCTTCTTTTATTTGACCCCTCTTTATTTTGCTACTGCTTTGTCCCTGGGGTCTAGGAATATCTGTTTCGGAACCAGGGATTGGGGAGATGGTTCAGCTGGTAGAATGGAAACCTTGCAGGTCCCATGCCTGGGTTTGATCCTCCACACTACGTGGCCTTGTACATGGCTGACCCAGATTCTATCCCTGCCACCCTGCCACCCCAGATGGTCCCCGAGCCCCATCGGAACCTGCCCCTCAGTACAGAGCCAGGAAGAAGCACTGCCAGGCGTTTCCCCTCTCCGACTCCCCCCCCCCCCCCCACACACACACACACACGGAAAAAAATTAGTAATCACACCGGGAAGCATTAGCATATGCCTCTCACTGGCCAGGTCCTGTCCTGCCTGGCACCCAGGAAGTCAGACCCCCACCTACCCCCAATGCTACGCTGTGTGTCCCAGCTTTCAGCAGAGCCCGTGGGAAACTGTGGCTGGCTGCTGAGCTTATGTGGCTCCTCTCACATCTCAGGTGGCCAGCAAGGCCGAGGAGAATCTGCAGCTGGTGCTGGCGATGGACTCGAGTGACCGGAGAGCGGCCGTCATCTTCGCGGACACACTGACACTCCTGTTTGAAGGCAAGCGCCCCGTACCCAGGGCTTTCTCCTTGACCCTCGCTCCCCCACTTGCCACCTCCCACCACTCGAGGCCTTAACTCCGTCCCGTAGTTTCCTGTGTCTTGTTCATGGAGAATCAGCTTCTCAGTTCATTTTGATCCGTCAAGGTCAGCTTCTTGGGTTCTTCTGATCCTTCCTTACTCTCAGGATCCGGACTCTAAAGAGTGAATTCAACCCAAAAATAAAGCACTGTGAAGAGGGTGATGCTGGCTGCCATAGGGTTCCTTTAAAACTGTAACAGGACCTGCTGGAATACCAAGCCCTGTGCTTAGTTAGCAAACAGATTTGGATTTGCTTAGTAGCTCCCAGCACTGATTAGAACCACTTGTGTGCACTCGGGGAAAACATTCAAATGGGGTTGAGGTATAGACTCTCAGGTTAGTCCTGGGTAAAAAGAAAAAAGTTTCTAATGTAGGAAGAGTACTTGGATCCAACCCTCTCGCTTTCTTTCTAGGGATTGCCCGCATTGTGGAGACCCACCAGCCAATAGTGGAGACCTACTACGGGCCGGGGAAGCTGTATACCATGATCAAGTATCTGCAGGTAGAATGTGACCGGCAGGTGGAGAAGGTGGTCGACAAGTTCGTCCAGCAGAGGGACTACCACCAGCAGGTGAGCAGAGGCAGCGGCAAGGAGGAAAGCAGGGATGCCAAGTAGAATGACATGGGAGGGAAAAAGTGCAGACAAGAGAGAAGTAAGCGCTGAAGACAGCCCGACTTGCACGCTCCCTGCCGCCAGCTTTCTTTGCACTCGAGCTGATTCAGGGTGGTGCTGGCCTCAGTTGCAGACAGACTGAACTGGAGAGGCTTCTGCAGGGCTCACGGCCCGACAGCATGCAGAGCTCTGCCTTCCATTGCTGTACTGAGAAGTTGTTTTTTTTGTTTGCTTGTTTGTTTGTTTGTTTTGTTTTTTGTGGGGGGGTCACACCCAGCGATACACAGGGGTTACTCCTGGCTCTGCACTCAGGAATTACTCCTGGCGGTGCTCGGGAGACCATATGGGATGCTGGGAATCGAACCCGGGTCGGCCACATGTAAGGCAAACACCTTACCCACTGTGCTATCACTCTAGCCGCAAGGTGATTTTTTTTAAGGTCTATTGAGGATTTTTTTTTGGGGGGGGCCACGTGTAACAGTGCTCAGAGCAGACTCTAGGCTCTGTGCTCAGGAATCACTCCTTGCAGGGCTCGGGATAGGTTGCTGAGGATCGAACCCTGTTTGTCTGCATGCAAGGCAAGCGCCCTACCTGCTGTATTATTGCTCTAGCCCCAAATATCAAGTAATTCACCTGAAACTCCTCCATAGTTCTATAAGTGCCAAGATAACAATTGCTCTATCAGAATGTTAGTGTTCCACCTTTTTTTGAACGAGAGGAAATGAATAGGTCTTAACTATGGGGTGGTCCAGAAAGTTTCCTCTGTAGACTTCCAGAGAGGGCTACCGTGGACAGCAGTCTCAGGGGGCACTGCTGTGGCACTTCTAAATGCAATGGCAGAAAAGAGCACTGGCCAGGAAGCCCTTGGCTCATCCACCTGAAAGCCTTCCTGGTGCCTGATCACCAACACGCCTCACCACGCCTGCGCCTGGCGGGTGGTGGGGGGGACAACAGGTGGTAGAGGGCAGACAGGAAGAGTGACCTCATTCCCTGCTGTGTACACATTGCAGTTCCGGCATGTCCAAAACAACCTGATGAGAAATTCTACAGCAGAAAAAATCGAACCAAGGTAAAATGGTCCTTTTCTTCAATTCATAGGAATCTGAATTGGTAGTCACCTATCTGTCAGAGATTGCTCTATTATAGTTACATGTTTTTAAAACGTTCACCTCCTGTTTTTGGTTGAATCAATGGTCACAGGTCACAGTCCTCCATTATTCATCAATTTGCTCGAGCGGGCCCAGTAACATCTCCATCGGGAGACTTGTTGTTACTGTGTTTGGCATATCGAATACTTCACGGGGAGCTTGCCAGGCTCTGCCGTGCAGGCGAGATACTCTCGGTAGCTTGTCGGGCTCTCTGAGAGGGGCGGAGGAATCGAACTCGGGTCGGTCATGTTGGCTGCGTGCAAGGCAAACGCCCTACCCACTGTGCTGTCGCTCCAATGGATCCATGTAAATAATAGCATATGCATGACATATTTGCTATTAAGGATGTTTAGAAAGAGACTAGAGCAGTAGTACAGTAGGTAGAGCGGTTGCCTTGCACACAACTGACCCAGGTTTGATTCTCTGGCATTCCTCATGGTCTCCTGAGCGCCACCAGGAGTAATTCCTGAGTGCAGAGCCAGGCATAACTCCTGAGCATTGCTGAATATTACCCAAACAAACACTGTCCTCTCGTTGTTCATCGATTTGCTCGAGTGGGCCCAGTAACGTCTCCATTGTGAGACTTCTTATTACTGTGTTGACATATTGAATACTCTCGGTAGCTTGCCAGGCTCTCCGAGAGGGGCGGAGGAATTGAACCTGGCTCGGCCAGGCTGGCTGCGCGCAAGGCAAATTCCTTACCGCTGTGCTATCGCTCCAGCCCCGGATATGACCCAAAAAGCAAAAAATAAATGTATTGATTAATAAAAAAAGAATGTTTAGAAAGAATAGATAATTATTACTAGTGGGTTTTGTTTTTTTCTTTGATTTTTGTTTTTGGGTCACATCCAGGGTGCTCAGGGGTTACTCCTGGCTCTGCACTCAGAAATTGCTCCTGTTGGGCGTGGGGTACTATAGGAGATGCCAGGATCGAACCCTGGTCGGCTTTATATAAGGCAGGCCCCCTTGTCTGCTGTACTGGCTCTCTGACCACCAGTGGTTTTTAAATACCAAAGTTATTCTTCCTTTCCCTCAGGGTCACAGATTTTCTCGATGAAAATCTGTCAGTGTGCCAGTACCATACCATCACTTTGTATTATGAAATTAGGAAGTGTGAGTTGGTTTTGCGGCCACACCTGGCCGTGCTCAGGACTTCCTCCTGGCTCTGCGCTCTGGTACCACTCCTGGCAGGGCTCAGAGGATTATGTGGAGAGCCAGGGGTTGAACCCAGGTTTGCCTTGTGCCAAGGCAAGCCCTGCTCATTGTACTATTTCTCCAGTTTGGAGGGTTTCTCTCCCAGTGAGGCAACTTTCATTTTGTGCCATTTATCAGACTGCTAATAAAAACACACTTCTCCAGCTCTTAAATGAGTCCGTTGGAACGTGTCAGTAGAGCCTGTGCCCATTTGGTATTTCCGGTCCCAGAGCCACCTGAGGGAATGTGGGTGTGTTTTTCTCGTGGCGCTTGTGTCTGAGAGGGTCCGTTTCCTTTCCACTTCCTCCTTGTGTTTGTGTCTCAGAGAGCTGGACCCCATCCTGACAGAGGTTACCCTGATGAATGCCCGCAGCGAGCTGTACTTACGCTTCCTCAGGAAGAGAATCAGCTCGGACTTTGAGGTGGGGGACTCCATGGCCTCAGAAGAAGTCAAGCTGGGTAAGAGGCGTTTCCTGTCTTTCCCGGCATGCCGTGGTGGAGCTGGCAGCAGGGCCCAGAGGGCTCGTTGGTGGAAATAAGTGAAGATTGTTAGCCTCAGACGCCTGTGGAAAGAGATGGTGCCCAGGAGGAAATCAAGACTTCCTGAAGTTTAGGATCAGACTGGGCCCGTGAGGCCATCTTGTTCTTTTCCCCTACACCAGGGGTTCCCAGAATTATTTGACCCATCGTTGCCCTTTCATAGAAAAAGGGGTCAGAGAGATAGTACAGCAGGTAAGGCGCTTGCCTTGAACAATCCCCAGCATCCCATATGGTCGTTCCCCGTGTCCCTACCCCACTCCCAGTGATTCTTAAGTGCAGAGCCAGAAGTAATCCCTGACGTGCTGGGTATGCCCCCCCCAAAAAAGGAAACATCACTGAGCACCCCTCTAGAAATGCACTTCCTTTGAGCAGACAAACAGAAAGTGCCCCTACCACCCCCCACTCTGCAGGGGGCACTAACCCACTCTGGGAACTGCAGGCCTCTTCCCTCAGGCCCCCTCACCAGCTGTGCTGTAGGGGTCGGTGTCTTAAGTAGGTGAGACTTGCACGATGGGGAAACAGAACTAAAAAATACTTGGAGGGGCTGGAGCGATAGCACAGTGGGTAGGGCATTTGCCTTGCACGTGGCCAAACCTGGGTTCAATCCCCGGCATCCCATATGGTGCCCATATGGGATTACCAGGAGTAATTCCTGAGTGCAGAGCCAGGAAGAATCCCTGAGCATCACTAGGTGTGACCCAAAAAGCGGGGAAAAAAAGATCAGGAGGGAACTTTTGAGAGTGAGAAGAAGTTCTGAAAGCGGGTTGTGCCCGTGCTGCAAACCTCTGCAAAGTTACTTTTAAATACTTGAACTATGCAGATCCAATAGGTGAGTGTTACGTAGGTTACATCTCCACATACTTTTGAGGTATATTGAACTTACAGCAAAGAGGCTATAAAAAGAGTACTAGGGTCGGGCTGGGGAGACAGTCAAAGGACTGGCATGGATGCTTTGCATGCAGGAGCCCCAGGATTGATTCCTGGCACCACATGGGCCCCCTGTGGGTATGGCCAAAAAACAGACAAAAAGAGTACAGTATCACAAAAGGATTTGGGGGCCAGAGAAAGAGTACAGAGGCTAAGGCACTTACCTTGCATGCAGCCGACCTGGGTTCGATCCCAGCACTGCATATTATTGTCGCCAAGCACTGCCAGGAGTGATCCGTGAACACAGCTAGATGTGGCCCAAAAGGAAAAAAAAAAAGAAGAATTTCATTCTCTCTCAGTCTCCAGTTCCCCAGCCGCAGGTTTTGAAGGAATACTACATGGGACTAAAAGTTTGCCTCTTTCACTTACTAATCAATCTCCCGGTTCTCTAAGAAGAACATGTCCTTCCTGCTAGGCAAAATATACGAAATCCCCTGAACTGGATGCATGAAACGGACCCAGCGTTCGTGGTTTTCTGTGGTGTCAATAATACTGGGGGAGGGAGAAGCTGACATATACAACCAGGTGGTGTTGCCTTGCCTTGATTTGCTTTAGGAGGTGGGGGGGGCACCCATTGTCCCTCAGGGGCTACTCCTAGCTTGACTTGGGGGGGTCACTCCTGGAGGTACTCAGGGAAAGGGACCGGGCAGGCCTGGAGATCAAACCTGGGGCTCTTGCATGCAAAGCACACACTCCAGTCCACTGAGCACTCTCCCCAGCCCTGATTTTTAAAAATACTATCTGTGCTATGATTGTAGCCATATGATTTATATACAGATTTAGAACAAGGTTAGGAAATGAATTTTAAAGATAATGAGAAGAATCCTTCTGTTTCCCTGGGGGAAGAGAAGTTGAGCGTTCTTTCCTTGGCTGTCCCTTAGAGCACCAGAAGTGTCTGGACAAGCTCCTTAATAACTGCCTGCTGAGCTGCACCATGCAGGAGCTGATTGGCTTCTACATCACCATGGAGGAGTACTTCATGAGGGAGACGGTCAATAAGGTAGGCCATGGCACAGCCCCGGAAGTGGACATCCTGTCCAGGAAACAGGCCCCGAGGAGATGGCGGAGGCGGATTCTCTCGCTGGGTCCTGATTCAAGAGAACCCTTGCAGGCGGGCAGAGTGTCCCCACTTGGTCACTGCGTCCAAGGACATCTTTGGAGTTGGCAAACGCTTTGTGGCACCTGTGGGGACTCTTGCCCCAGGATCCCATGGGACCACTTCTGCTCAGTGACCCTCCTCGAGCCCTGTGTCACTCCGGGTCCCCTGGGCAGTCCCTCAGGGACAGTGGGCTTCTGATATTCATACCCCACAAAATAGAGGTGTCCCCGTGGCATAGGCCCTAGGTCCTTCATTGCCCAGCTCAGCCAGCCGTGGGGAGGTGAGCTCTTCCGGCCAGAAGGAGCAGAGCCACGCCTGTGCCAGAACTGTCCCAACGGGGATTGGCAGAAGCAGAGCCCTGACCGCGCTCTTCGCCTCTCGGTAGGCTGTGGCCCTGGACACCTATGAGAAGGGCCAGCTGACCTCCAGCATGGTGGATGATGTCTTCTACATCGTCAAGAAGTGCATTGGACGGGCGCTGTCCAGCTCCAGCATCGACTGTCTCTGTGCCATGATCAACCTCGCCACCACAGAGCTGGAGGCGGACTTCAGGTGTGCCCGGCGTGTCTGCTGCTTGCTTTGGTTCCCTTCCGAGTCCTGTGCAGATCCGCAAGCTTTGATAAGCTGCTGGCCCTGGCCCCAGGCCACTGCCCAGCAGCCAGGTAGCTCCGGGGCCAAATTTAATCTGTGTTCTCTGGGCTGAAAGCAGCAGTTGGCTCTCAGACCGAGGAACAAGAACAGGCAGCTCAGACGAAGGCGGCAGCTGAATGATCAGTCAGTTGTCCCAGCCTCTGGGAAGTCACCGAGCTAATCTGCTCTCATCCACACTGATACAGGTCATGGCGAAAGCTCCTGGCTGCTGTGGCACTAGGGCGGCTGGGGGGGATTGCAGGCCTCCTCCCTGGCCTGGCGGGAGTTCAGTGGTGCCAGCTGGATGCCTGGAGGAGCGCAGGGGGACCTGTCTCCTCTGCACGTTCCCGCCCCGTCAGTGGCTGCTGCATGCCTTCCTGTCTCCAGGGACGTCCTGTGTAACAAGCTGCGCCAGGGCTTCCCCGCCACCACCTTCCAGGACATCCAGCGCGGGGTGACCAGCGCCGTGAGCCTCATGCACAGCAGCCTCCAGCAGGGCAGGTTCGACACGAAGGGCATCGAGAGCACGGACGAGGCGAAGCTCTCCTTCCTGGTAGGGCACCCACCCGCGACACCACCCGCCCCCGCATGGAGTGAAGAGAAGCACCGGGGGCGGGAGATCTTGGGGGTTTGGTTGCTTGGTTTCTGAGCCGCTGATACGCTCAGTGCCTCCAGGCACTGCGCTCAGGGATTGCTCCTGGCCTGCCTGCTGCGCCCTCTCCAGTCCAGGGTGTTTCTTTGATTGTTTGGTTTTGGTTTTGAAGCATGCATGGTGGGTCTCTGGAGTCCCTTTCAGCAGTGCTCAGAGGAGCATAGGGTGCTGGGAACCAAACCCAGAGCTGCATGCAGACCACACATGCCCACCTTTGGAGCCATCTATACCCCCAGCCCTGGGAAACCTCTTTAAGGAAAACTACTGGAAGGCTCTGAATTTCTTTCTTTTTTTTTTTTTTTTTTTGAGCCAGTCACAGCAGTGCTCGGTGCTAACTCCTGACTCTGCTCAGGGATGACTCCTCACAGTGCTCAGGGAACTCTATGGGGTATGCCAACTCTATGGGGTGAGCCCAGGTCAGCCACATGCAAAACAAGCTCCCTACTCACTGTACTATCCCTCTGACCCCAAAATTATTTTTTTTTAAATCTTTTTTTCATTTTCGGGGCTAGAGTGATAGCACAGCGGGTAGGGCATTCACCTTGCACACGGCTGACCCGGGTTCTATTCCCAGCATCCTGTATGGTCCCCTGAGCACCTCCAGGAGTAATTCCTGAGTGCATGAGCCAGGAGTAACCCTTGTGCATCGCCAGGTATGACCCAAAAAGCCCCCCCTTCAAAAGAAAATTTTTTTCCATTTTTTGGGCTGCGTACCCCACAGAATCCAAGAGCTGCCGGAAATGGCACCTCCTCAGATGCCTACTCTCAGGAGTCACTTCTTCAGTGAATAGTAGCCTCTGTACCACAGGAACCCCAGAACCTCTCCCAGACCCGTGTCTCAATAAGGGACACAGTTCTGGAAGCTCGGGTCACTGCCTGTACTGTTGCTGGCTCTGCTGCATCGTAGCAGGCACAGAGAAAGGCCAGACCAGTTTCCCTTCCTGCCCAGGCTGGGCTACTGCACGGGGTATAAGCTGGAGCCAGTCTGCCATGAACAGGAAGTCACCTGCTGTCCTCCTCTCCCAGGTGACTCTCAACAATGTGGAGGTGTGCAGTGAGAACATTTCCACCCTGAAGAAGACGCTCGAGGTACAGGAACTTGTGTGTCCACTCTCTGCCATGGCTAGGAACCCACGCCGCGCGCCCACCCCGACAGCCAGCTCGCCCCAGCACACTTGGGGACCCAGTAGTGATCAGCCTGATAGCCGGGCACCCTAGACCACTAGAAGAGTTATAAAATCCAAGTAAGGTCTTCCTGCACCAACCTGGCAAGTGACCTGGGCAGTTCCCTTAATTCCCAGGCTTCGGGCCTCACCTAAGGAGAGACACAAATGCCCGCCACGCCCTGCTTTGGGTTTGCTAGGTGACCAGACAGTAGAGGCATTGAAAGCGCTATGAAAGTGACAGCACCCCAGGCCAAAGCCATAGCACCGCGGGGAGGGTGCTGGCCTTGCAGAGCCAGGTATAAGCCCTAAGCATCACCAGGTGGGGCCCAAAATCCAAAAGAAAAGAAAGCGCCAGTGCCCTGTGCATCTTAGGAGAGTAAAACGAGGTGCTGGCCATCAAACCCGTACAGAGTGGGGGAACTGCTTCCACCTGGCTGCCCGAGACCCGTTCAAATCTCCCGTTTGATGGTGGGCCAGATGTGTGACCTGAGGCAAATCCTGACACTTCTTGGGCTGGAGGGCAGGTGGGGGAACTCTGAACAGCGCCTGGCCTGGGAGAGGCAGGCATCGTGACCCTGTGCAAAGCCGCACTTCGAAGGGAAGGACTCAAGGCGGTTGTGGGGGCTTAGGCAGGCAGGGCAGCTGCAGCCGCAGGACCAGGGGCAGGCACAGGGGGAAACTGTCGCGTCCCCAGGGCAGTGCGGCGGGCAGCCCACAGGGGATTACAGTAGTCCTGGTCGTAACTGGTGATGCTTAGGGCTTATGGTCCCCAAACATCTTCCAGTGGCGTGAGTGGCCCTCCCTGAGTGCCAGCCACTCTGCGTCTGCACCCTGTTTTGCGTGCTCCGCCAGCCTGCCTCACTCACAGACCAGATGACCCCGATCACTCAGCTGCTATCGGCCCAGCCGGGGTTTGAATATTGACCCTTCAAAGAGGAAAGTGTTTGTTTTGGTTTGGGGGCCACACCCAAAAACAGTACTCCAGGGTTTTTCCTGCCTCTGCACTCAGAGTCACTCTTGGTGATGCTCAGGGATGCTGAGGATCGAACCTGGGTCACCAAGCACCTCTCCACTGTTCTGTTTCTCCGGCCCCTGGGAAATGTTTCCTACTCCGACCCCCAACACCAGCTGTTCCGCACAGAGGGGCATGGGAGCCCACTCTGAATCCCTACGGACAGGCTGCAGCCACCCCAGGAAGGCTGGCTAGCCTGACCGCCAGCTTCTCCCACAGAGCGACTGCACCAAGCTGTTCGGCCAGGGCATCGGCGGAGAGCAGGCGCAGGCCAAGTTCGACAGCTGCCTCTCCGACCTGGTGGCCGTGTCCAACAAATTCCGAGACCTCTTGCAGGTAAGCCCTACTGCAGCTGCCTGGGTGTGTGCTGCTTGTGGCTGTGAGGTGACTGTGACTGCCGAGTGCGGCCTCCAGGGCTTTCGGAGTCCTAAGGTCCGACGACTTTTCCCCCCGCTATAAGTGCGACTGCCACATTCACCAGCTGCCTTCTGTCCTCTGCAGCCCTGCCCCAGGGCCGTGCCTCTGGTCTGGACCAGGATGGACACAGGTCCGGAGAGGAACGAACCGTTCTGGCCCCTTTGCGTCCTCTCTCTCATTCTGCCTCGCGGCGGGCGGGAGTGGCTGGGCCTGCAGGGGTCCATCCCTCTGTCTTTCCACAGGAGGGGCTGGCAGAGCTGAACAGCACAGCCATCAAGCCCCAGGTGCAGCCTTGGATCAACACCTTCCTCTCCGTCTCCCACAACATCGAGGAGGTCAGCCTCCCCGACGGTCCCAGCCCAGGCGTTCCCGCGGTGAAGGGGGGGGAGATGGTGGGAGGAGGCTGGGCCTGGCACACGGCAGCCGGCTGAAGGGAGGGGCCTCTCCCCAGACGGAGGGGTGGGGGGACACTACCTAGGGAAGCCCAGGTGACCCACCGCCCCCCCAACAATAGGAGGAGTTCAACGACTATGAGGCCAATGACCCGTGGGTCCAGCAATTCATCCTTAACCTGGAGCAGCAGATGGCCGAGTTCAAGGTGAGCGGGCTCGTGGCAGACCCTCCAGCCCACACCTCCTGAGGCCTGAGCCAGCACCCCAGTGACCTCATGGCACAGGGTGGGACACCCGCTGATGTCTGGCCTCTCTGTGCAGGCCAGCCTGTCCCCGGTCATCTATGACAGTCTGACCGGCCTCATGACGAGCCTTGTCGCCGTGGAGCTGGAGAAAGTGGTGCTGAAATCCTCCTTCAACCGGGTAAGGCCGGGGTGCCCGGGGGGACCCGCCTCCCCTCTGCCGCCTCTCCTGCCCGGCTCAGGGCACAGGCCCCGGAGCAGGAGGCTCCCGTGACGGCTGGTGTCCCCCGCAGCTGGGCGGCCTGCAGTTCGACAAGGAGCTGCGCTCACTCGTCGCCTACCTTACCACGGTCACCACCTGGACCATCCGGGACAAGTTTGCTCGGCTCTCGCAGATGGCCACCATCCTCAACCTGGAGCGGGTACGTGCCCCCCCCGCCCCGCAGTCCAGGCTCCCCCCAGCAGCACCCCCTTGGCCCACTTAGCTGTTGTTCCCCACAGGTGACTGAGATCCTCGATTACTGGGGGGCCAACTCGGGCCCGCTGACGTGGCGCCTCACCCCTGCGGAGGTGCGCCAGGTGCTGGCTCTGCGCACAGACTTCCGCAGCGAGGACATCAAGAGGCTGCGCCTGTAGGGCCCCCCCCCAAGCCCCCCTGGCGCAAGCCAAGCGGGGGCTGCCTCTCCCACGAGACAGGCCTCCCAGGGCCCCCCAGGAAAGTCAAAGCTGGACATCCGTGGTGGCCATTCTCGCCTGGACACCGCAGCCGAATGCTGCCTCCCTGCCGGGCCTGAAGGACCTGAGTAAAGTGCCTGGGAACAAAAGACACTCACCGGAGAGGCCCGAGGCTGTTTCCCAGGCGGGCTGGATACCATGGGGGGCGGGGCCCAGCCACCCTGAAACGCGGAGACAGTAGTCACTGGCTTACACTACAAGTGGCACACAGCTGCCACCAGGACCCTCCTAAGACCTGGCTCCTCGTCCAGTCGCAGACCCTCGCTGGGTGCTCAGCACTGGGGGCTGGCCATCCCAGGGGTGGTGCCCCAGTGCCAGGAAAGTGGGCAGTGCTCCTGCCAAGAATACAAGCCCTAAGAGGACAGTGCTGAAGGATGGAGTGCATTTATTCCCAGGAAAGTTCCGGTCCTGAGAAGTCATTGCCACGGGCATCGGGTACCCTTGTGGCCACTCATCAGAGAATGGCCAGCTCACCGCCCGAGACCCTCGTGAGCACCTTACTGCTGGCCGGGAGTGGGTGCTGCCTCTGTTCAAGATGAGCCTGGCCTCAAAGGCAGGGCAGGGGGCTACCAACCATCAGCCAACACCAGGGAACAGTCCCTACACTGGGCCTGGCATGGTAAAGGCACGTGTGACATGAGCTGCAATGCTGCTTCTGCAGGGCCTGGAGCGATACGGCGGGGAGGGAAGGCCTCCCCTCGCACACGGTCAACCCAGGTCTCATCCCAAGCACCCCATGGGGGTCCTTCCTGAGCACTGCCGGGTGTGGTCCCAAAGTCAAACATTAAAAACCTTCCAAATTGGAGTCTGAATCAAGGCCAAGCCCCAGTCACTGTCAGCAGGAGCTTCCAGGCGGTTCCTGGAGGGCCTGTGCCAAGTCCAGGGGCTTCTTTGGGGACAGACACATTCCTGGTGGGGACAGCGGGTGCATGGCGGCATCGCTGGCCAGGGGGCCGGCGAGCAGGAAGGCAGGTCAGGATGATGCCTCACTCCCCTGTAGCTGCAGGCTCAGGCCCTGAGTGTCCACTTCCACCAGGTGGACGCTGTAGTTTCCCAGACCCTGGAAGCAAAGGGCACACAGTTTGTAGGGAGATTTTGCAGCTGTAGCCCACGCAGCCAGGGGTCAGCACCCCAACACCAACCTCAGCCTTGGCCAACACAGCCTCCAGCGCCTCCTTCTGCCGCGGCTCCTTGGTGAGCAGGTAGAGGAAGCCCCCGCCGCCCGCCCCTGCCAGGCTCTGGCCATGCACGTGGGGGGCCAGGACGTCCATGAGTCTTCGCACGGCACGCGGCTCGCAGCCAGGTGCCATGAGCTTCTTCTGCTCCCAGTATGCGGTCAGGCACTGGCCAAGCAGTGGCAGGCTCCCTGGGGTGAGGACACAGGTGCCACTGAGATGGCGAGCACCCCCTGAGGTGCTGGGAGGACTCAGGAGCAGAGGGAGCCAGCCCGGGTCCCAGAGGCGACACCTGGGGACCCGGCTCAGCTCTCACTCCCTGGGATTCTTCTGAGGGCCTCAGCCTCTGCCCACCTCTGCTGCCCAGGAGGCAGGACTTGGCCTCCACATGTTGGCAGGGTGAGAGCCCGAAGGAATCCACCCCCACCCAGACACCCAAGAGGACAAACGTCACCTTGGCGGAAGGCCTCAGCACACCGCTCCGTGTGCTGCACCAGGCTGTGGGCGTTCTGGACAACGGCGGGCAGCCGGGCATACCAGCTCCTCAGCACATCCTGCACAGGACACAGGTGCAGTGGGGACAGGGCTCTGCCACCCCCCTCCCCCGGGACATAGCCCTGCCCCTCGGAGCCGGAGCTCACCTGCAGCAGGTTACGTGCCAAGCGGGTCTTGCCGGTGTACACCAGGAGCAGGTGGTCGTTGAGCGTCTGGACAAAGCCCTCGGGCACCACGAGCTCTTCCACCTCGACCTTCAGTGGCAGCTGGGCGCGGGAGCGGCCCACCTTGATGCCGGGCATCAGGCCGCCCACTTGGTCCTGCCAGCCACCTCCTGCCAGCCCAGGGTCCCGTCACTGTGCGAACCTGTCCCAGCCCCACCTCTCTCTCTCTGCCCAGGTTCCAGGCCCGGCAGAAAGGACAGTGCCCCCCCGGCCCACCAAAACCACTGGGCCAAGTGATTCTACCCTCAGCCCTAGAGTGCAATCAGAGTTCAATGGAGCCAGGCTGGAAATGTGGAATCAGGACTGCAGCTGAGCCCTCCCCTAAGTCCCCCCAGGCAAGAGAGGGCCATCCTGTAAGGATGTCAAATATAAAGTGGGCAGTTATGGCCGCCTGGTGGGTGGTGGTCAGTGGAGGACCCATATGTCAAGCAGGCCTTCCCTGTGCTCCTCTCAACCAGAGCACGCAGCTCACAGCCAGTTTGTCCCATCAGTCATGGGACCACAGGGCAGACTCAGGATCACTGTCAGCTGACCCAAGGAAGGACTTGGATGGAAACCTCCAAAGAAAACACCCCCCAAGGCTGGAGCAATAGTACAGCGGGGGCTGGTCCCCCAAGTGCCAGGAGTGATCCCTGAGCAGCACTGGGCATGGTCCAATTGACCCGTCTGCCTACTCCCGATCACGGCGGCCTGTGCTGTGTGCATCTTCGCCCTCCAAGGCCTCACGACAACATCGGGGGCATCTGTGCATGGCAGGGACCTCCCCCGAGTCACACAGAGTGAGGCCTGCACCTGGGGTGAACCTGGGATCACGCAAACAGCCTGGCGCTGGTACTGCTCCACTTGAGTCACAGTCACGTGACCCGGGGAAGGGCTACAAAGGGCCAAGAGGGGCCGGGAGAGAACACAGGGGTTAAGGAGGTTGTTTGCTTTGCGTGTAACCGAGCCCAGTTCTCTCCCTGCACCTCACAGGCCCCGGAGCACACAGCTGAGAGGAGCACCACCAGGTGTGGCTCAAAAATCAAAAAGGGGCTGGAGCGATAGCACAGCGGGTAGGGCGTTTGCCTTGCACGAGGCCAACCAGGGTTCAATTCCCAGCATCCCATATGGTCCCCTGAGCACCGCCAGGGGTAAAAAAAAAGCAGAGAAAACTGAACAGCCAGAGACATGGTAGGGTTCTGCCCAGCCCGCAGGGGCACGGTGCTCGGGAAGGGACAGCTCCTGAAACCCCAGCACCTCCACGGGGACGCCCCGCACCTGTGGTGAGCACCTGCTCCAGGTGCAGTACCGCGTGGACCAGGGCCTCGACGCCCACAGCTCGGCCAGCTGCCCGCTGCACGGCCGCCAGGGCCGCACCCGCCAGGATGCTGCTGGTGCCTGCAGGGGGCAGAGAGGGGCGCTGGGCATGCCACCCATAGTCCAGCCCACCCGCTCCCGCTCGGGCCCCCACCCCCATCCAAGGGGAGGGGAGCGCGGGGCGCAGCTCACCGAGGCCAGAGCCGTGGGGCAGCTCGGACCAGGTGTGCAGCTCGAAGCCGCCCCCAAAGGCGCGCAGCAGCTGGTCGCTCAGAGGGAGCGCACCGCGCGGGTGCACGATCCCCGCGCACACGAAGGCCGCCTTCAGCAGGGCCCCTGCAATGGACAGCGCCGGGCACTTGGTCTCCGAGGGCAGAACCAGATGCTCCACCTCACTCCGCGGCTGCCCCGCCCAGAGGCAGGGCCCTGGGTGTGGCAACTCAACGTGCCCGAGCCACAGCTGCAGCCTCCTGCCCCAGACTCTGAAAGAACCCTGGGCGCCCCCACACCGGCCACGGTACCCTCTGCACCTCCAGTGCCCCCGGGTCTATGAGGGCGGCTACCAGTTCTTCCTCAGCTGGCCTCGCCCTCGTGTGCCGTGCAGCCTGAGTGTGTCTGTGCATGTGTGCATGTGTGCATGCATATCGCATGTGTGACATGAATGCAGTATGCGGGCGGCATGCCACATGTGTGTGTGCTTCCATGCGTGCATAAGAGCGTGTGAACTCAGCATGAGTGCGTCCATGCGTGCATGTGTGCATGCGTGCTGCAGGAGCACCATCCCCTCCCGCAGACACCCGTCGGGGCCCCTTACCTGGGGCATGGGGCTGGCAGTGATCCCGCAGGTCGTCCAGGCTCCGGCAGACGATCCGCAGGGTCATCTCGTCCTGCCGAGGCCCCACTGCCAGCCGCAGTTCGGGCTCCGGGATGCGCCGGGCCCGGGCCCCCATGGGCCGGCATCCGTCCACCCGCACAGCCAGGCCCAGCACGGCACCCCCCAGCTCGTAGGCCAGGGGCGGCGTGTCGCTCCAGCCCCCTGGGCAGTTGGACACAACCTGGTTGGTCACGGGTCTGCCAGCCCCACCCTGGGGTGACTCCTCACCCTTCCTCCCCGTCTACGTCTCACCGGAGAAATCCACGCGCGCCGGGCACTCAGCCACCACCCACTGCCCAGACGCCGGCATCTCCACCGGCTCCGTGGAGACGAAGCGCTGCGCCGACATCACCGCCTGGCGGATCAGGATCTGCTCGGCCCCCTCATAGTGGCGGGCAGCTCGCACTAGCAGGGCCGGCCTGTGGGGAGCCAGGGGGCAGGGTTTGGGTCCAGGGTTTCCACTCCCCAAGGATGGCTGGGAGCTGGGGGTGTCCCACTGGCACCCACCTGCTCAGCCACTTGTCGCGTTCCCGGGCCAGCGCCGCCACACCCGCTGCCAGGTCTCCGCGCTCCAGCGTGGCGAAGGGCTGCAGCCACTCGGGGTTGGCGGCCGGCCCGCTCCGTAGGCCGCCGCGGCCCTCCGCCATGCAACCCAGCACGTCGGCCACACAGGCCAGCGCCCGGGCCGCCACGCCAGCGTCCCCCACACCTGCTGCAACTGAGGGAGGAGCCAGGCTGGCTGGGAAGGGCCTGGCCACGGCGCCTTTGCTCCCCCAGGCGCTCCAGACAACCGGCCCCTCTCTGCTGAGCCCTGTCCAGCAGTGTCCCCCTGGACGTGGCCCCTACTTCACCCCAGGCCCAGGATGTCCATTCTGGGGACAGCTCAGGCGTCTGGGTCAAGCCCTTTGGCTCACATTTCACCCGGCAGCTGTGAGTGACTTAAATGGGGGTAGTGTCCACTGCTGTAGCATCATTCAAGGGGTCCTGCCTCGCAGGCTCAGGTTCCAGCTTGCCACATGCTGGCCTCTACGGCACAACGTGCAGGGTTGGTGGCTGTTCCCCAGACTTCACAGGACAGGGACGCTCTCCCCAGGAACCTCCAGTGACCCCCCACGAAGACAGGCCTGCCCTGCTCATGTGCGCCCACAGCACGTGTCTGGCACCCACCCGCCAGTCCAGCCCACTCACCCTGGTCCAGCATGGCCAGCAGGGGTCCGGGGCAGCCCTCGCCCACGGCAGCCCTGATCAGCGGACGCAGGCTGCGGTCCTGCCGTGCCTCCAGAGTGTGCCGGGCCTTCTGCAGAGCCTGGCGGAAGAACAGGGCGCGGCGGGAGGCCAGTGTGGCCGTGCGGTCCAGGCACGCCTGCAGCTGCTCCCAGGAGAGGCGCCGGGAGACCCTCCAATTCTGCAGGGCCTCGCCCCCATCGTCCGGAGGCCCCAGCACCCACAGCATGTCACGGGGTCCCAGGGCCTTGGAGGGGTGGTGCACCGGGAAGAGGCGGGCGTTGAGGAGGGAACGCTCTGCGGGCGGCATGCCGGGGTCCCACAGGTCCTGCTCTCTGCCACAGAGAAGGAACATCAGTAATGGGGACACGGGGGCCCCCTCCAGGTCACCATGCCCCTGAGCACCTGGCTAGCTGGGGACAGCGGCTGCAGCAGACTCGGGAGGGAGACC